CACATGCAAGTGAGGGCAGGAAGCCAGCAGAGAGAGAAGCAGAGCACTGAGATACAGCACACATTTCTGGACCCTGAAGTCAGTACGAAGATAAGGAAACAGGATACTTGTCCTTGTGATGCTGAACACCACGCAGGGTATGAGAAGAACCTATGTGCAAAGTCACTCCCTTGTCCCAGCTCCCGCACCTGTCCATGTTCCCTGAACCCTCCCATACATCGGCTCCAAAGGAAGATGTTTTCCTTTTTGCCTCCTGAAGGTCTAGACTATGATTTAAGGAACCAGAAAAGCAACAGTTCTATAAATAATGACTCTAAAATAAGTTATGCTAGAGTCAAATGAAAACTATGTTAAAATGTCCGATATACATTGCAAGAAAAGAAAATCTGAAATATTTTTATATCTGTTTGTTATAAGCATTGTGTTTAATGGTAGAACTAATTCATATTTTCTTCTTCCCCCCTCCTTTTTTTCTCCTAGTTTCCAGTCATCCTCATCACTTCTGCTCTTTTATTTAGTTCAGAGGCAAAGAACTATGAAGTCTTCATGAACCAAAAAAAAAAATACTGATGAGATTGTTCAGCTGCCAAACTTAAATCACCACCTGAATATAGCCTGATTTCTCACTGAAGGTATGAATGTCTGAGGTTCAGCAGTGTCACACAGAGGTAAACCTGGACTAGAATTTTCTAAGAAGCTACCAAAAGAAGAAAAAAAAAAAAAAAACAAATCTATACAGGGATAGTAACAAAAAAAAAGCAGCCTTGTTTTCTCTATTGTCTATCCTTGGAGCAATCAGACAGTGATTCCTAGAAATATCAAAAGATGTACAGGATATCTTAAAATGTAACAGTGGGATAATATGTCTACATAGGTGCTAAAGGGAAGTGGGAAAAAAAATCTGGGTTCTTTCCCCAAAATGTGTTTTCAACATGCTGTTCCTGGAGAGCAAAGTAACTTTCTAATGTATGTGTTATTCTCACTAGTAATCAGAAAACAATTGAACTGTGGACAACAGCATCATTGCTACAGATATCTATACAGCACATCTATGTAATAAATTAAGATTAAAAAATAGATTAAAAAAAAAGATTAAAAAGATTAAATTAAGATTTAAAAAGTGATTGGACTATGATTTTTGACCTGCTTAATATTTTCTGGCCCAGATTACAGGAAGCATGACTGTTGCCGTTAGTGTCTGTGTTCCATCAACATCTGTATTTCTGTCGCTAAGACTGAGACTTAATCTGATCTATAAACAGAACTCTCACCTGAAATGCATGAAATTGTGCACTTTCACTTCATACTGAGGCATTTCAAAGTGGTATATTTTAATATGCTCTAGAATATCTGCTATTATTTTCTCATGGTGCAGAATTTAACAGCATTTTCAAACATGTGGGAGAAGCGCAAATGCTACCATGTGTGGGAAAAACACTTTTTTTTGGGGGGGGGACGAGTAAAAAGGATAAGTGTTTTTTGAAAATCAGTACAAATTTTAAGGGCACTGTTGACATCCAGAGTTTATGTAGAATTTTCACACCACTTTAAGAAATCAATTTCTATTATCATAATATGCAAATTATCTGATTTCTTTTTTGGTTAAGAAACTGGAAGTTTTTGTTACACCAGTAAACTATGAAGGCTTTTTTTTTTTTTTTATTTATTTTGTTTTGTTTTTGAGATAATGTTCTCTATGGAAAGCAAATCAAAAACGAGACCAATCCTAGGTTTCATCTAATAGTCCTTTTGGATACTCTCTTTTCGGAGCATCTCATTAAGACTACTGCTTTTTTGAGGGAAAGGATAAAGATGTATTCAAACTGCTCTCAATGAGATGGTTGCTGTCAGATAACCATCTGATTTTTTACTGACTCACTGAAACATTGTTCTCTTGAGGTTCAGGTGTTGATTAGATCAGAAAAATGTTCTGGTGGGCAAGCCAGCTGAAATGTCTGTGTCTTTTAACAAGCAAACTTTTTCTCTCATCTGAATCAAATAATTCTGAAGATGATTAAATGTCAATGCATAACTACGAGATTGATGGGAGGTGGCAGGTTTTGCATTTGCAAGTATAAATTACTTGCTGCAATACCAGACAAACAGGCTGTGCTGCATTGCAGGAATCAACTAGACAGTGCCCCGAGTTGCCCGCGCATTTGATAGAAGAAAACAATCTTCAGATCTATATTAAGTTTGATTTTGACCTGCTGCAGATAATAAAAACTAGTCTATGTAAAAGACTTTGATGGTATCAATTCTCACCAGATAGGATTGCTTGCTGCCAGGAAAGCCACAGTTCAAAATTAATTTATCTTTCATCATGATGGAATAAGCATAGACACCAAAGGTTCCACCACATAGAAGTGTAAGAAATTCCATTTACCATCAGATGTGCATTCTCCTAAACAAAGGAGAGTATAGCATAAGTGACAGATTTCTGCCTCCTTCCTGCACAACCAAATTTTACAATAGTATTCTGCTCTTTATTAAAAATTTAAAAATGAAAAATGTTCTGCTTACGTTATGTATCTTGATGGTAACTTGTTGCTGTGTTCCTAGTTTTGATCACCAGTTGTCATTAGGGTTCAGAATTGTAGCTCTTCATGTGGAACATCGAATGTAACAACAGAATTTAGCAAATGTGGTTTATGTGAATACAAAACCGGAAAAGAAAAAAACAACAACAACAACAACAACAACAAAACAGAAGCTCAGGAATGAAGGGATGCAATATTATTAAAAGCACTAGGAAAGACATTGTAAGTTACAGATTGATAATAGCCTACTAACTCTACTGTTAGCTATGTCCTGGAGATAAATTGCTTGAGAAATAAAACAAGAGCTGTGTGTATGTTCTGTACATTGTGACTAAATTACCCCTTGGTGTAAATTTCTTTGAAATGATGGCACTTAATCTGCTGGCTGACACATATTACTCTGTTAGCTTTGCCATTAACATCAATGAGATGTGTACTGGGAGAGCCACTTCAGATTACCTTTGCCTTCTTTCCCTGAGAAGTTCAGGGAAATTTGTCCCAGGGAGATTTGACCTCAGCACATGTGTTATTTTTCACAGTCCGTGCACACTTTCCACTACCATTACGAATTCTCATCTCATAGCAGGATTTGCTGATAATTATCCTCTTCAGTAAAGTGGCTATTAGAGAGAAATCTCTCAACTCGGCGAGCTGCTAATATTGTACATTTGATTCTTGCATTTGTGCAACCGTTTTGGTGACTGCACTGCAGGCCACCTGTCATAAAAAAATCCTAGACTTCTGTATGAGGAGGGTGTAATCTATCAGATAAAATCCCTTTAGATGTTAATGAGATCATTTTGGTTATTTCTCATTTGTGTTCCTGTGTTTAATACTGTGTAGCTTTGTGTAGAAAAGACCCACTGCTAAATTCATGTCCCAAAGCTTCATTCTCTCATATTATGGGATCTCATATTGTAGACGACACTGGTATTTTTGATGAGTTCATACTGTAAATAAATGTTGCATTTATTTACCAGTTTGCACCACTACTGTTACCGAACTGAATTCTAAATGCTTTGACACGCTGGTGGCCCCTGTGTGAAAGGTGAAATATAAATCCCAAGTCTGTCATCAGGATTATTACCCTAAGCAGTTGTATGGTTCAGTGTTCACAACCGAAGCAAAACAAAGATAAGAATGTTTGCACTTGCATGTTTCAAGTTAGTGTTTTAATTGACTACTGTAAGATAGATCAAGTTGTGATGTAACAGCCTTTACGTGCTCTGAGATCGTTGTTCTGATGCGCCAGCTCTTCTTTGCAACCCATTAAAATATAGTTACCAATTTCGTGTTTCTCATAAAAGCGTTTTCAGCAAGAAAGCAACTTAAAACACCTGAGTGAGCGAATGCAGTGTGTGTTAGCAGCATTGCAGTGGGTGTGGCATGCAGTGACTGGACACGGGGCAGGTTTTTTTGCTTTAAACAGCCGTGTGCTGTCCCTGGGGGGGATCAGGGCCGTGCTGGCCATGTCTGCAAGAGCACAGCAGGGCAGCTGCTCCCCCAGCACGAGCATTGGGGAGCAGCGGTGGCTTCCAGCTCCTGAGCCTGTAGGGGCATTTCGTGTGCCAGCCCCGCTCCTCTGCCATTCCCAGCAGAGGATGGAGGCACCTTGCAGCTCCCACCCTGCGAGCTGATGTTTTTCTCCAGAAAACCTGGCTATCTGTGAAGGAAATACACGTCAGGGTGGACACACATTTGGGAAGCGGGGTCTGCTTCAAGCCCCCAGATGAGGCAGAGCTGGCTGGGTGACGGGAGAGCTGTGTGGAAGCGTTCGCACTGTGCGCTGTGTCACACGGTGAATTTTTGGGGTGGCGTGTGTGGTGCCAGGAGGTGGACTGGGTGATCCCTGTGGGTTCCTTGCAGCTTGGGCTGCTCTGTGCCTTGTGAGACTACCTGGGGGAGCTGAGGGGCCTGAAAACGCAGCACCGGGCTGCGGCAGGGCAAGGCCTAAACATCATTGGGAAAGACAGAGATGCTTTTAGCAACTATTTTAACTGGAGTGGGTGAAGCTCCTTCAGAGGAAACCGCCACATTGATCCCTGTTGGCAGCACCACAGCCTTCCACCCAGCCAGGGCCGGTGCCCAGCACCCCGCCCGCCTCAGCCTCAGCCCCCGCCCCCGCCGCCATTATAGGGGGGGGTGCGGCCGGCAGGGGGCGCTGCGGCGCGGGAAGGCGGGAGGAGGGCGGGGGGCTGAGGGGGCGTGGCTTAACGGGGGGGTGCGAGTGGGCGTGGCCGCGGCCGCGCGGGTTCCCGTGGCGACGGGTGGTCGCGCCGTGACGTCAGGGTGTTTCCCGGTGACGCCGGGGCGGGCGCAGGCGCCGGGCGGGCGCTCGGCGGCGGCAGCGGCGGCAGCGACAGCAGCGGCGGCGGCGACTGCGGGTGACGTCACGGGCCCGGGCGTGCCGCGCCGCCGGGAGCTGCCCCGGGATCCCCGCGCTGCGCCCCCCTCCCCCTTCCCCCCCTCCCCTCCCCTCCCGTCCCGCTCCGGGTCCCGGCTGGGCCCGTCCCGGCGGCGCCCGCCCCGCCCCCGCCCCCGCCCCCCCCGGCGCGGGCAGCCAAGATGGCGGCGCTGAGCGGCGGCGGCGCTGAGGGGGCCGCGCTCTTCAACGGCGACGCCGACCCCGAGCCCCCCGCGGCCGCGGCCGCTGCCCTCGCCGCCTGCTACGGCGCGGGGGGAGGCGGGGACCCGGCCATCCCCGAGGAGGTGAGGACATAAGGGGGGGACAGGGAACGGGGGGGGGGGGCGGCTCTCATCGCATCGCCTCACGGGGCTGGTGCGGCTCTGCATGGGGGTGAATTGCCATAAAAACCCCAAAATCATGCAAATCCCCGTGGAATGGTTTCACCGACCGGCGTGTTTTGTGGCCCTGTGGTATCAGCACGGCTGAGGGGGTCAGCAGACGGCAGGGGAGGGGAGGGGAGAGCAGAGAGCTGTGGCAGGAGACGGGGGTTGTTCAGAGCAGCCCTCATGCCAAAGGAGGTGGCACCTCCAAAATGTTTCAGCGTGGGTTGGCAGGTTTGACCCCAAATGCTAAATTACATGCTGCAGGGTTTTGTCCTCCTGCTTTTCTTTCCCTTGAATATCTTATGGCCCTGCGTGAGAGGAAGAGCAGCAGCCTGGTACCTGGCACGCCCGCTGGCCGAGAGGCTGCCCCGTCCCAGCCATGGGTCCATACACACGTGGTTAAGGAGCCTGTGGCCTTGCTGTGTTATCTACAAGTTGGAAATAATGAAACACGCGGGTCTAAGGCAGAGCCGGTGCTAAAATTTCTGCTTTTTGAAGCGGTTTTGTTCTCCAGTCAACTCGTTCTTCCTTAAGTCATAGGTAATTAACTTTTGTTTATGGCTTAAGCACTCGTATTACGTCAGCTAAAAGTAGTTTTGATAAAACTCAAGACCAAAAAATTGCTGATAAGGTTAAAATAGAAGCCGTCCTTAATACAAAAACAAGCCGACATAAACTCTAATGCAAATTTGAGGTAACTTAAGTCAGAAGAATACTGAGGTGCACATAACTGACTCATGGCTCTAATAGAAGTGCCAGTTTTAGTGTTTTGTTTTGTTTCTTCAAGAGAACGTAAGCCTGGGCTTTAGGAGTAACCTTGCTGTGGGAGTGCATCAAGGAGCGTAACTTGGCTTATTTGGAGGGGATGCCAGGACAGGTTTTAGTTCCACGGCCGTTCAGGAAATGCCCTCCTGGCCTCTGGGAGGAAAGCCTCACGTTCTGCACTGAGCCTCTCGTTTTAAGAGGCGGGTAACCAAGAAGAGTCTTTGACAGCTCTTGAAGTAAGCGGACACAAACTCGTCAGCTGAAGTCCTCTGGTAAAGGAGGTGTTATGTATCAAGATCATAATCAAGTGTTGGTTGAAACTACAGCAGCATTATTTACCGACTCAAGGCTCGGGGCTTTGCAAAACAAGTTGACGCCGTATCGTTCAAATCATGGCCAACTTGTAGTCGAACAATGAATGTAGTGCTTCAGAAGTTGCCTTTTCTATCCTGAGAGCTGGTACTAAAAATCTTCAAATAACAAAGTCATTACATAAGAGTATAATAATTGCTAAAGCAATTTTTTTCAACATTATGATTGAAGATTAGGAAGAACGCTTGCGTGTGCGCTTATACAAACAGAACACTTGGGAAATAAATCCTTATGCCACCAAAAAGTACCTGAAAAGAGTAGGGGCAAGTGAATCCAGGAGGAAATTTTCTCTTCCCCTCATCATCCTGCTTCTGGTATTAGGAGGCCTGCGATGAGTGCTGGCATCCAGAGGCTTGGAGGCTGGCCTTTGGCAACCCCATGATGAGTTGTCAGGACTAGAGACTGTCTGGATGGAAGGTTTTCAGAGTGTTGTGGGGTTGCTGATGTAGTAAAGTGCGTGAGACAGCCGGGAGGAGAGGCTCTGATCTTGTTGCTAGAGATTATTTACACCAATATTAAATAATTCAAATGGGATTTTCTGTACTTGGAGCTTTGTGCCCTCAAGTGCTCTTTGGAAGGCAAAAATGACTGGAAGCTGTGAACCGAGCCCCTGAGCTGATCTCTTCCTAGGTGGCAATGCTGGAGTTGATCCTGCATAAATACTAGTTATATATTTAGAAACCTTAATCTTGCAAAACATTTTTAAGAAGAAGGAAAAAAAAAATAGAATGAAAAGATGCCTCTGAACTTAAATAACTGGTAGGATCTCATAAAGTAGCGTTGGTATGATAAGAAAAGTCGGCGTTAATTTTTGTTGCAGTAGCACTTGGGGAATCTATCATGCAGGGAATTAGAATAACTTTTAATACGATTCACTGAAGAGTTGACAATTAAATGTGCATGCTTCTTTGGAAAGTTGGAAAGAGAAGCATTTTTTACTTTGTTGCTTTTGAAATTCAACATGAAATGTATTCCCAAAATTGCAATTAAGTTTCATTGCACTTGTGTTCAGTGACTGAGCTAAGTTTACAGTCAGGATTGCCATCCCATTTAACTGTGAGGACAAGTTATGCTTCGGCTGGAGATGAAGCATCTCATGGCCAGTGTTCTGCAGGAGCGTATCTCAAAAGATAGCACAAGAGTTATGTTTTGCACAGCAGCAGAAAGGCCTTTGCTGAGCACTTGGTCGGTCTTCGGGCTGCAGCTTCAAGCAGTACGTGGTCCACCTGGGGAGGGTCTAGAGAAAAGGAACGAGAGGTTAGATCAGACCTTTGAGGAAAGACTGAAAAAATTGAGGTCGTTTAAAAAAAGAAATGGAAATTGTCGAAGATGCCAAGAAGAGAACAAATAACTTGTTCTCTGGGTTGATGGTCATGAGTGCTGGGTGTAGTGATTTTAAATGGTAGCAGGAGATTGTTTCAGGTTACTATCAGTCCTTTTCCTTTATGACTAGGGATAGTGAAGCAGGAAAGTAGACTTAAATTATCTGAAAAATGCCTCCACGGACAAACATATGTCAGGAATGATGGGGGAGAGTTGAGCTGGCTGTAGAAAAGACAGTGATTTTGATAACCTCTTGTCTTTTTCTCCTTAGGCTTAAAGGACTTGAGTTTAGTGGGGGTGTTTTAAAAAAAAAAAAATCTGCTTATGCTGTTTTACCCAAAAGGCAATGGGATTAACAGCTGTGTTCTGTAGTAGCTCTTTTGATTACACAAAACTTGCTTAATAGACCGCTAGGGCCTGAAAAGTTCGGCTGTCTCAGGGGATTTGCCTTCAGCCTGTGTGGATACCCATAGCTCGGATACAAGGCGCTTGGTGCCGAGTTCTGTTGTGAATTGATGTTGGTGCTTCAGCTGCTAGTGCTATTTCTACTTGTACTTTGTTGTAGTTGTTAAAGATGCCTTATTTTTAAAGCTGTTCTAATAATATCTTTCTTGACACTTGTTTTAGCTAGGAAAGGCAATTCTTTTGTTGCATGCAGTTAAAAGTACCGTAGAGGAGATGTGGTTTTTGGGTTTTGTTTTTTCTTTTTTTTAATGGAGATATCTCTTAATAACAAAAAATCCTTAAAGCTCCAGTATTCTACTTAGCTTTATTTCGTAACAAATCTATAGTTTAGTTTTATTAATTGCTGTACCTGTAGGAAACGTGAAATTCACCCTAAAATCCTTCATGCACAAAAGAGGAAATAGGATCTTATTTGTACTTGGGAAAGAAATAAAAGGAGGCTTCGAATTAGCATGAAGCTGATAACCATCTTCCTGCCGAGCCTGGTGCAGAAGCTGCAGGTTTCACAGTTTTTTGGAGACGCTTCTCTGCCGAGCGCGCCTTGCCTGCAGTACGTTTCAGTTTGAGCAACCCCCTTTTGAAGGGCAGCGCAGCAGGAATGCCCCGTCATAACCGTAGTGGCAGATGATTAATGCTGCTCCCGTCGCTGCAATCGCGCTGAAGCTGATCAAAGGGTGCCCCGCCACCCAGAGGGGCCACTTGTGCCATTTCGGGTACCTGCACCCGGGTGCGCGGCCAGATCCACGCCAGCTGAGTGCCGCTGAGGATCCTCTCCCAGGCTGATTCAGCTCACTAATGCTGAAGAAAATTGTGTCGCTTTTGGTAGGTTTTCTGCAAGGGTAGCGGACTGCATCTCCTCAGCAAGGCGGCTGGCGAGCTCCAAAGCTTGTGTGCAGTAGGTGGCAAGAAGAATGTGGTTAGGGAGAGCAGTGCTAGCGTTTGACACGCACATACACACCCTTCGTTTTTTTTCAGGTCACCACTGTCCTGCTAAACTCCACTGGTGTTCGTTTTTCTGGGGTATGTTTGACTGAGAGCTCTTGTGTGGCTGAAGCTTTCTTCGCTGGACTTGTCAGGCTCAGATCCTGACACGTTAGGTCTTTGTGGTCTTGAGTTTCCTGTGCTAGGCTGTAGCAATCGGGCCTGGTTTCTCTGGACAGCTTCTGAGTGCACCTTTCATGCCCTGAGCTGTGACTGCATGCCAGCGTGCCAGGGACGCCAGGGCCCTCTCTGGGCTTCTGGTACAGCAGGCGTTTCACCATGTGAGACTGCGGGGTACAACATCCAGTTTTCTGAGGTGTGAGATGGCTTTCACCATGTTCAGCTGTTCACATGTGTGTGTGTGCACAGCTCTGTCCTCATGGCAGGTACAGCACACCGCAGTGTACAACACGCGTCTTGCTCTGCTGCAGTTTCCCTCTACCAGTTGCTCCGGAGCTTTTGGGGCATGCAATGCAATCCTCTTAATCTGTTCTCCTGCACACAGCTTCTTTCTAAAATGATGAAATACGTATTTATGCAACTGATTTCCTCTCTGCGACCAGTTCTAAAGTTATACAAGGCTGCTTGAAGCAGAATTACGGGCCTTTTTCCTGTTCAAACACTTGCAGCAAGGAGCTGAACTTGTTACTCCGCCTTTCTAACTTTATTGTGGAAGGAGCAGCAGCAATGCCTTTCCTTATTCTGTTTGATGACAGTTTATGCTCGCGGCCACTTGCAAAAAGAGGTGGAAAGGCTGAAGGTGTAGTTTTTAACCATCCCTGTTGTCTGTTCAGATGGGAGCTCTCAGGGAGCTGGTGCTGCAGGCTGTCATCCCACCTGGGGAATTCAGACCCATATAAACAGTAAGGATCCCAAACCAGAGCCTGTGCTCTTTCCAAAATGGGGTTTGTTGTGTAGTACTCAGTACCAAGTGAGCTCTCCACCCTATCAGCACCACAGTCAGGAGGTGATAGGGGTGTCTGTGTGCATTTGTCCCTCTGAGCTTCTGACCA